CCCCCCCTCTCCCCTCTCCCAGAACTATCCTATCCTCGCTGACTGGTGAGAGTGACAAGTGGATGGGGTGGTGTCCTTTTTATTTTTGGTGCTATGGCGCCCCCAGGCTGTTAGCAAAGAGTTGAAGCAGCAGCTAGTGACAGGCACGGCTCTCCAGAACGAGACTGGATTTGTTCTGGAAGCACTCACCCAGCCTGATGGAGACATGAAACCCTGGCCGAGTGGACGACGTGAGCTGTAGTAAAGATGAAGAACTTATTATGTAAAAAGAAACAACATAAGAGACTATTTCAGATTTTTGGGGATTTCTGTAAAGATATACGTTGTCTTTAAGAATCATTGTATGTAAATAGAGTAACCTTTTGCAGTGTTTTTCTTAACTTGATTATTTCTTATTTTAATGTCGCTTTTAAATTGATCCACTTTAAACGGGAAGAGGAGGGGTGTAATCTTTGGTATCACAGTTGGTCTCTCCCAGTCCGCCCCACATGACCTGACACCCACGCTAATATTTTTACCATAGCAACGCTGAGAGAGACCTTTTGGTTTGTATTTGCCCACGAATGGAGTGCTACCCCCCACCCCTGCGCGCCATCCACCAAGCTCCACCAGAGCCTGAACATCGTGGACACGGATGAACAATTAAAACAGCAATTATTTTTTTTATCTTCACCACATAGTGGAGATGATGCGTGGATTGTAACTATCAGATGGTAGCGGAAACTTCTCACCCCGTTCTAGACAGAGACATTTCTTCAAAACAAGTTGAGAACACTGGTGTCATAGCAGAAAGGTGAAAAGTCTGATATAAGCTTAATTTAGCCGGATAAGATATGACTACTCCTGGACTGCGTCTGAGTAATTAAAGTGAGCCAATGCTTTTTTTTCAATAGAGCTGACCGTGGTGTTTAGCTGTCTCTCTCTGCAGTTTCCAACCTGTCCAGAATTATCTGCTCAAATGTTGTCATGGTAAAAAAAATAGTAAGTCAGGTTTTGCCATGCCTTGTGACTTGAGAAAGAAGGCAGCTTTAACTAATTTTCTCAGAGATATATGTTGGTGTTTGATGTTTGTATTTGTTTCTGTAGTCCCTCTTTTTTTTTTTTTATACTGTCCTGAAAAAAATCTGAACTCTGTAAATTGTCTTTCCATTACACAAAGACAAAACTAACCAAACATAAAGAATGGTCTGCACCATTGTTGCACTTTTTTGCTTTGTAGCTTTTGACAAGAAAAAAAAGCATACTACCTGCTGTGTAACTTATTCAACCTCCAGCATAAGAGTATACTAAGATGTGCTTTAACCTTTTCCCACCACTCACAGAAATCTGGATGTTGAAACTTCCTGTGTTTTCCTGTAGCTGGTACATGATTTTGTAGTGTTGACGCATCACAGTTACAGTTTTAAGTGTTTGGTACCGTTAAATGTTTGCCGTCATGGTGGCTCAAAACCGTGACCACTTAATCTCTGCTTTCGTTGTGTCAGTCGAGGCATAAAGCTTTGAATTATTATAGGTCAATTTCATAAATGGCAGTAACTTTCCGTTGCAGATGGTGAAAAATTACCATGTTTTGTCTTTCAGCTTTGCTCAGTTAACAAATCCATTATGCTCTAAACTTTCCTTTCTTTCCTTTTATTTTGATCTTGAATCATTTGTCATAGCACATGTTCAGAATTTTTTTTTCAACATCTTCGTCATCCATCCTGTTAAGGAGGGGATGTTATGTGTTTACAAAGGCAATGACAAAAAAGTTTACAAACTTGAATCTTAAAGAAATCCGACATGAAGCCGCATCTTTTCAGCTCTAACAAACTCGCAGTGGTGACTTTTTTTTTGTTTGTCTTTTTGAAATTGAGACTTGAAAATCCGTGTATCCTATGATGTTGAAATGCAATGTTTGTATCGCACAATGTCTCTTAGTAGGCTATTACAAGAGTTCAGACCAATCAAATAAAGTGGATCAGTTCTCCACCACTGAAAAATGTGAGGTGTGCCATCTATTAAATTAACCAATACCATTTTAGTTTTTTAGATTATGGCCTGATCAATCACAACAGTCATTGACTGACATGTACCACAACTCTTCAGGATCCTTTTGATGTGAAATGTAAAACGAAAACATTTTTACCACAGTCTTTAGCAATTTCAAGTTGCGGTTCATAACAAATAAATGTTATAGAAAACAATTAATCGCATTCGAGCACCTTCAAATGCAGAAAAATACCTTTATTGCTGCAGTAAAGTGGATGAGATAATGCACAACTATAGGCCGATCTCACAGAAGATATGTAGGTGCTTTCCATTTAGGTGAGCCAGTTCCTGGAATCTGGTATAGAGCAGTCTCACAGCAGACATTATGATTCATAATGGCAGTAAAAGCAATAGTAGTAATGAACTTGATTGTGGTTCTATTCCATTCAAGTATTGCAGTGTGTTAGTGACATGCACCAGGACCCTGGAAACAGATGTGGAATGGAGAAGTAAGATATGATCTTTAATTTGTCATTGTACAAGTACAACGAAATTACAATATGAACTCAAGGTGCCAATGCGCAACAAGACAATATAAAAACAACAAGACAGTATACAAACAAGAAATGGGACTTAAATAGACATGATAGGGAATATGTACATGTAAACAAATCTGTGTTCTCAATAACACTTACATTTTTGCTATTATTTAAAGATATATATTGCTATATTTAAAAATCTTTGCTATATTTTAAAATATATAGCCTGATATTAACATGGCAATAGTCTGGCGGTGCATTGGAAATATTGTCCTGAATTTGCATGAAAGTATGTCCGGGATTTGCTCTTCCTTCACATACACATGCCCCTAAAGAGACTATTTTAAGGATTAAAGCAGGCTATTTTCCCAATACTTGTATTGGCTACTCTTAAAATCAAAATTAAATGTGCCTATGTAGTAGCAGGAACTTTAAAATGAACTCTACTTCGTCCTTTTTGAAACGTTGAAAGGCCTAAAAGCTCAAGGGTCTCCGAAGAAATACAACGCTTGAGGTATGTTGGCTTTTATTTTGGAGGGAAATCAGACATTCGAACCGGATGTCGTTATATTTTGGTCGCAGTTTATTGGCTACCGGAGTTGGTGACTTCCTGAAACGAAACGGTCTGAAAAGTGCACATCCATAATGAAGATGCGTTCGTTCTTACCTGCAGTTGCTGAACAGCTTTTCCGAGATATTCAAAAAGCATACCAGGAAACTTCCCAAAGTAAGACGAGGCTGGTAAAGAGAGATAGACCAAACAATTATTCCCGGGGGCAGTTTTAGTGGAAATGTAGCTGTAGCACTACTAGCTTTAATATAGCAGAACGTGACAAACTCGCTTGACTATTTAAGCAAACTTAATGTTAACTTACCCTTGGTTAGTACGCCCTAGTTAACTTTACAGTAAGTCAAAAACAGCTGTCGTTGTGTGCTTTACAGTAGCGTTCATGCAGCATTTCTTACATTTTAACTGTTGTTGTATGATGTAGTTTAATATTTGGCCTGTGGGAGGCGCTGCTGGTACACACTTCTGTCACTGTACACTAGTTTAGGTTTACACACCTGATGAATAAACAGGGCTTTTCTCACAGCAAACACTAACAGGAAAGTACAGGTGTGTTCCTCTGTAATGACTTCCAAATGTATGTGTTCACTTCAAGGGTTCAAACCATAGGGTGCAAACCTATTTAATAACAGACATTGGCTTGTTAGAAATCTCTGTTGGTTCTACTAATATTAACAAAGTTCCTGTTCTGTTTGTGTGTCCCACAGTGATGCAAATTAGTCGCTTTTCGGCGCCTCCCGCTTTTTTAACGCTGCTTTGGGTGACTTGTGTAATTCGTGGAGAACCGAAGAGTTTTCGTTTTTGGGGGGGGAGGGGGGTCAGTCCGTCCGTTAGTCCATCCGACTGACGGACAACTTCTCACTTCAAACAGGAAGAAGAAATCTAGATCGCAAAATAATTAAACTTGCGAGTGCCTGTTTTTCCTGGCCAAGGACAGGTTTCTTGAACACAACACGAGCGTAACGTGTCTTCACCTGGTTATGTCTCGTCTGAAAGGAGTGTAGACTAGACTAGAGTGCTTACGGAGAGCACCGGAACGACGCTCCAGCTCTTCAAATATTGCAGTACCCATAAGGAGCCGTACACATGCCGCAGTGTTTGCGTGGTTGTGTCTTTAGTTGTAAGCACAGTGGCGATCTGTTGTTATTAGCATCTGATTAGCTAGCTATGCTAACGAATTTAAAGAGCTTTTCTACAACCAGGTGGAAGAGAGCTCTCTCCTGAGAGGCTCAAATAACCTCAGCTCAGTGAGGTTAAGGCACACCTTGATATGATCATTATAATTATTAATGAGACATTAGACTAAATGAAAAACAGGTATAAAATACTATATGACAGTAACAAAAAAGTTGTTAACAATAACAAGAATAGAGTTTAAAAGGGGAGTGATTTGTAAAATATCCCAAAAGAAAAATCTGTTTACAGTTCTGTTTCATATGGGTGTTGAGAGATGTATCCATAGGTCTCTTGATTTTGCTCTCAAAGTGCACCAGATTGATGCTTTTAACTTCAATATTTTAAAAAAAAATCTTCCCGGGGGTGCATGCCCCCGGACCCTCCTAGAGGAGGTTAGGTCCCCCCCACTTAAATCATGTTAACATGGATACTAAATACATTTGCACACATCTTGTGTCCATATCTTTCTGTTTTGGTGGTCATTCCACATTGTGCGCATGCATGCGCGAGTCATGGTAAAATATTTGGATTAAGAGGTTGCTTTTTCTTTGCACAGCATGAAAGAAAGGCCAAATGAATTGGCTGTGATTTTAGTTTTTTTAAGAAGAGGTTGAGTTCAATAATTTGTACGGCCCTCGGAGGATTTTGTAAAAATTGAAAGGAAAAAGGTTCCCCACCCCTGCTGTAAATAATAATAAAAATCCTTGATTTATAACATCTCTGTCTCCTATTGATCTGAGTATATTATAAAAAATAACCAGTTAATTGAAGCATTATAGCACAGGCCTTTGTCAGATGGTATATTACCCTGTTTTTTTCCTGCTTCGAATAGTTCTCTCTTTTTTCACCATACCTGTGTTTGCATCACTGGTCCCAATAAGTCATGACCTGAAAAAGAAGCAGCTAAGTGGAATTTAACCATCATATATTCTATAAGTTATAACTAGAGGTCTTTCTTGCATGTTTGCTTATTGGGACGCATAATAAATAAATGATGCCATAATTTATGCCCTTATTTTCTGTAAAAAAAAGAAGAAGCTTATTATCATAAACAACATGAAACTGTCTGAATCAACACATGACAAACATTTTCGTTTCATCACATTCCTAAATTGTCACGCAACATTACAATTTCTTAACACAAGTTGCATACAGTTGCCCCCGAAGTGTTTTTGTCGCCACACAACATAAAATATGGGAAGGTTATGACAAAACAAACCCACGACAAGGTTTTGTGTATATTGTCCATAAAGGATTATGTCGAGTCGTAAAACACAACTGCTATGCCTCATTGGGCTTTTGTTACCATTATTCAGTGGGTTTGGTCCATTTATTAGACAAACAAACTGAACCACTGAAACGTTGGCTTTATGAAGAGTTGGTTTATCTGTATACTGAAGTCAGGCCCAGGGACTCAACAGTAATGCAGGTTTGAAAAGTTAAGCTGCAGCCGTTTTACAAGACTCAAGGCCATTTCAGCAGTCGTTTTCACCCGGATTTTCTGAAAAAGTCAGTAGACTCCAACCCATAACTGTCTGGCCTCTAGATTGTTGTATCACGAGTCATAAACACATATACTAACGAGTAGCATTACCACAATGTAAAAATATGATGTAGTCTTAAGGTTCTGTTCTGTGTTGTGTATTTTAATATCAAATATTGACCTTACACTGTAGGAAGATTGTGAATTTATGAATGTCTTCAAAACTGATTCCACCCACTAGATAAATAAGTATAATTGTAGTTGTATCACTCTTCAATCTGTCAATTTCTTTTAGTAATCATGATCACACATTTTAAAATATGTTTTCATTTTTCTTTCTTTTGCAGTACCTGATGACCTGCTTATTGCGTAAGTATCAATTTCATCATTCCCATTATCATCAATTAACTTCCATCACAGATATGAACCCCACAGCCTACAATCACTAACATTGTTTTGCAGGTTTTTTTCCTAATTTCTCACGGTAGTCATCTTTCCTCATCAGAGTAATGATCTAAGTTAAGTACAGAAGCCACACTGCGGAGGATGAGAGGCCTTTTTTTACTGTCTGGGTTTGTGATGTAACAGTGAGACACAATGTCATGATGCTGCTTTGTGTCTTTACAGAGAAATGTTCCTGGCTTTCATAGTTGTTCACTTAGTGAGAGAGAAGGTTGCTCACTGTCTGGGTCAACACGGCCACATCCTGTATGTCGGGAAGCTTTGGCTCTTCATCATTCACAGGCAGACATAATCCTATTTTTATATTTGTCTCCTGGTTTGTCTCATATCTGCCTCATGAGAAAGATATGAAGAAAAAAACAACAATATGTGTTTCATTCATTTCAGAAAGAGGGTGAAAATAGGTGCTGTGAAGAATGAATAATTATAAAATAGATTTAAAAAATGTACAAAAAAAGCTTCAGTTTGGTTTCAAGCTAAATAATTTTTTTTCTTCCATCTCTAGCATGGACTTTAAAGAAACTGTTATAGTGTTTGTCTTCTACGATAAATGAGCAAGTGCTTCGCCTTAGATTCACATTGTGAGAAGATTCAACAGTGATACAGGGTAGAAGTGATTGTTGAAGAGGCAGGTTCTGGTTCTTCTACTAACTGTGCCTGAAGTTCACAGCCGGGGACTGTTAAAACATGCTTATTTAATTAGGAACTCCACCGCAGGCCCTCACACTCACACATAATGCAATGTTCACAAAAAAAAATTCAGACTCCTACTCAGCAGTTTCTGTATTTATGCCATGTCCAATATCTGTCTGTGTTTCTTCCTCGTTCTTTCAGGCTGAAGTTTGTTTTCGGGCCGTGTGCGCTGCAGGCTCTGGACCTTGTTGACCAGCACTCAGTCACCTGTCTGTCATCTCCCAGTGGACGCAAAGCTTTCCAGGTCCGTCATGCTTCTGTCAAATCTGGAGCTTTTCAAACTGTACTTGCAGTTTATATACTTCACATCAAATGGTTTGCATCCTTACACTAAATCATCACCATAATATATTAGTCGTTCCAACCTTAGTTACAAATGCAATGTGAGCAGGATTATATGAGTCTCTTTGAATGAAACCAATGGAATGATCAGGATTGAATGCCCTATCTGTAAAGACAATGTGAACTCTGTCAAACCCACTTGAGCAGCTGATCTTTTAGTTTGAATCTTTTGATTCATGGTTTCATAAAAAAAACAAAAACAAGTCCCATCAGTCAGTTATCTTCATTCAATTAATGTTTTCAACCTGTGGCACATCCATTAGTCCCTGCACGCCTCACACAAACACACCCTACACTACTGTGTGCTAATTGAAGCTAATTTAACATGTGACACTTTATAATGGTATAATAGAAGCACTCAGGGGTGGATATTAATAGTGAAAAAAAGGTTTTGCGGTCTTGTATTGCCAGATATATCATGATATGACATCGAGAACATTTAGATTTCCCTCCCTGATAGTAAATCCCCAGGGTGCGATTTTTGACCTGAGTCACCCTCTCCTCAAAGAGGCAGCCCACTGAGGTTGTGGTCATTGGGACCCACATTTCCTGTAAACTCCTTCAGGCCCTTGCAAAAACCGATTTATAAAAGGAACTGTACAACAGCTCAATGCAACTAAAAAAAGACATGTTCTGTTCTTTTGGGACCGACAATTGTGGGCGCTTTTACTGTTTTATTTAGTCTAATTTCCTTAAGGCCTGTCTGACAATAGTGGTCAAGCAGCATATACTGGAAAGGCAATTGTCCATTATTATTCTGTTCTGGAAAATAGTTTTCCCCTCCAAACTTATGTCGTATGGTTGTGGCTCTGGTTTCTCTGAGAACAAATCCAGAACAAGTTAGTTTCTGAAGCGTTTTATAATTTTTTGGTACTCAACCAACAAGCAACTTTCACAGTAGAAATATGTAATACTGTATAGATACATGTGTCCGATTTTCCAAATATGATTGGCGCTTTGTGATGTTTAGATTGTGAACAGTTAGGTCTGTGATTTGCTGTGTATAAACTGAGGTTTTAATGAATTGATTGAAAGTGAACTTGTTGCAACACTTCAGTTTCAACATGACTCACACATACAGACACTGACCGCCATTCACACACAGCTGTAGGTATATTTTGTTGTCAGCCAACTGGTCTTAGCTAATTAAGGTTAGTTTGCTTTGGTATTTCAATGCATTAAAAAAACGATATATATATAATATATGTTGTCACCTTTGTCAAGTTGGAGGATTTTGCTAAGCTGTTTTTTCTTGTTTAGCTCTTTATGCTAAGCTGAACTTGCTGCTAGCTATGGCTTCATATTCACTGTACAGACACAATTCAAATGTATCTTATTATCTAAATATAGTGACTTCTAAAAAGTCAAATAATTGTAACACGTAACAGAACCTCCCTTTAAATAATCCACTTTATTACAATCATTTGTTGTTTTGAAGTGCAAACTTTAAACGCTTAAGTCTTACACGACCAAGCATTGTTGACTTTAATTAGAGAGTAAATAGTCAGGTTGCATTTTTGAAGTACTCAGAATTCCAACTGAAACATTCCTGATGCTTTGCCATCGTCATGTAGGTACAGGCTTTTGTTTTGGGAATGTCAGCGTCACCTCATGACTTCATTGGGAAGTTTTACAACATCAACAGCATGCTAATATATCACATAACGTTCTCCTTTCTCTTTGTTATAAATCTTGCTGGTTTATTTTGTGTGGCATTAGCAGTAGTGAGTGTTGCTCCTGTGATGATGGCAGGTCTGTTTAATGTTTGAAACGTTAGTGATGCATTAAGTGAGACTATGGTTTACATAGTGTCTGTTTGAATACTGTCTCTAAGCCATGACAATAATATTTAGCTTTCCCCTCTCTCTGACTCAGATTAATCTTGAAAGTGGGTGCTCCAGAAAGCAGCTGATGGAAAACAACCAAGCTCTTCCCACCTAAATATCTGGAACCAGAACATGGCTGGCATGGCATGAAATGTAACTTAAGATAATCACAGACTTAAAAAAAATGGAAGATCGGTGAAGATGCACCTCTGATGATCAGGCTGCATGTTTCCCCTGAAGTTGAATAATATTTGGTGAGCATCGTGTGAAAGGAGACTGTTTTTAATCCTCTCCAACAGAATGAAAGCAGTGACGTCAGTTCCTGAAGCAGTTGCTCATTTAAAAAATAGAGCCCGACAGTCATTAGTCATACACTTGTCAGGAGTCCTTACAAATAGTCTGTGTGACGTGTGCAGGATGAGAGAGCAGATTTCTCTCATCAGATCATAAAAGGTCATCTTTATGGGGTCCTAATATGCTCATATTAGGTTCATATTTGTGTTTTGTGCTTCTACTGTGACATGTCTCCATGCTTTAATGTTCGAAAAGCTCTTTATTTTTCTCATACTGCCTGTGATGAAGCACCTCTTTTCACCCTTTGTCTGAAACCTTAGCTTAGCAATCTCTGTTGTGATTGGTCAACCGCTAAAAGATGTCCCGCCCCTGATAAGTACACTGCGTTGAAGTGCTATCCAATTTACATGCAAAAAAACCTACATAACACACTACAGGAAAGGGAAAACTCCCAAAACATATTAGGGCCCCTTAAATTAGTGTTCTTAGATGGTTTCCAGAAATTAAACCCATGTGTGGAATAAACTATATTCATAGACAATATTGAGTACACTGGAAGTGTTGCGACTTGTGTGCCAATTTGGCAATGTGAGAGACATCTTGTAACATTGGATAAATCAAAAATATATGTTGTCCAGGCTCCTACTTCTTCAAAAGAAAATAATATTTAAAGAAAGAATGGCATTTAACCAATGGGATATTTTAACCATATCTCATTCTTAACATTCATTGACCTTTCACGTGTTATGGTTTGCTTTTAGTAAACAGAAGTAGTGAGTAATGTATGCCCAACAATATTAAGACTCCAGCTGTATGGACACACACATTGTGTGTTTTGTTTTATACACAACTAAATATTGAGGTTGCTGTTGAGGACAGTATGGTATTGATTAAGTTGTTGATTGTAATTTTTTGACTATTTTCATCATTGATTTATAAAAGATCAGACTTATAAAAAAGCCAAATATTTGCAAACATCTTGATCACATTTTATAAATTAGCTATTTTCAATAGAGTTGTACGTTAAATATCTCTAGGTTTTAGAAAAGCACTATTGGGTGAGCCTGTTTTTTTTGACATGATAAAAAGATATTCTATTAAGACATTCACAAATGTTCCCGATCATAGAAATTCAACTAATGTTCCCATCCTTATATATGAATGAAGAGAACTTTTCAGCCCCCTATATTTTGTTTGAAATCGTTGATAAGTCTCTATTCCTGATCTTGTTTCTCTGTGGCAAACAGCAGAAATAACTTGATTAGGTGATGAGAGGGGAAGTAAGGATGCAGTACTAATGCAAATGCCTGGTTTTAAGATGTGGCAGTCCTTCAATACACTTTCTCCAGGGGCATCACGTTTCCAAACCACAGTCCTGTGACAGGAACGCAAAACAAAGTTTATGTGGAAGGCTTTTTAACACTGGAGGTAGTTCATCAGCACTCCCATGAGAGACAGGCAATTCTTGAAGCACTTACTGTATTAGTCATCCCAGTCTTTATACAGTGTGCTGGAGAACAGATGCAGTGGTTGTGAGTCTTAATGGCTTCCCAGAGCTTTACACTTCCCTGAAGCCTTCTTAGTGGTGTGGAGCCAGGGGACAGAGCGCCAGGACTTTGGACCGCCCTCTGTCTGCTGCCAACTCTCCCAAAAAGTATTCCTGTGTGAGCCAGCATTTCAGAGCTTTGCCGAGGCTTTAACTGTTCCTTCCGCAGCGACTGTCTGAATGGCTGATCTGGATGTATAGTGTCGTTTTGAGGGAGACCTGGATACCTGCCAGGCAGTGAAAGCCTTCAGTTTGCGGTGTGAGCTGTAGCAGAGCCACATAATCTATGATGACTGCTTACAACAAAAAGGCCCAGAGTGTGAGCTGGTTTTCAATTAACCTGGCTCTTTGGAGCAGTAGAGGTCCTTGGCTCGGTCTCCACAGTCGTACTGTTTCCATCCTGCAGTGCAGTGAGCTTTATTCATCCGCACTGAGGTGCTTTAAGCCCATGTATTTGTCTCTCTTTATGTCTTATTTATAATTAAGTGTCACGTTGAAGACGTTTTTTGCTTTCGTGGGTCACAGGGAAAGGTGATTTATCCGAGCTCTGGAGACTAATGGAGCCAGCTTTGTCATCTTGGGAGGCATTAGTTATTGTGCAGTGTCAAGCTAATCCACAGACTTAATGTCCTCATGTGTCATGTGCATCAGGGCGAGACTTAGATCACTGTCTATGGCTGGGAGTGAACTACGTACGGCTTGTTTAAAAATGCATCGTTTCTATCTTGTTTCCTCAACATACCTAATGTGAAATGATGTTGATGGTGGAAGCAACCTCAACCGGCTTTCTGTCACTTTTATGAAACATTAAAAACGAGAGTCCGAAATGATCAGGTTAAAAATCTAGTTTTCTGCATTAATATCTTAAATGTTTTTAATACACATACTTATTGTTGTTATATGTTGTCATAGAATGTGCACTTCTTTATGTTTGTACTAATATTTATTTTTTAAATATTTTTATTTTATACTTAAAAGGAGCAAGTGTTATGAAATCTAAATTACCCTCAGGGAGTAACGTATGAAGTATGTTTTACCATAACTGTAGTTGGGATATTTCACGGATTTTGGACTCTAAAATCCCTTTTTAACAGAACTGGAAATTGAAGAATAAGGATTTAAAATCATGTCTTTAGCACGTGCTGTGACCCTCCAACGGTAAGACACTCTTTGAGATATTCCATCCGAATCAGTTTATGTGACGTGATAGCTTACAGCTGTGGTGTAGAAGACTTACTTATATCCCAGTAAAATACCATGACTTCTTACATAATGTGTGAACAGTTTGATTTCACACACAAGCCACGCAGCTGCAGGGCTCGTCTGCAGATGACATCATCTTTCTCATCTCTCTGCAGAAGACTTCATAGAGATCTTGAAATTATCAGAAATTACAACAAAACACTTCTATCACTTTGACATTTGGTATTACGCCGATACAGTTAGTTGATTTAAAAATGTGAGGTAAACAGGCAAAAACAACAAAACAAAACAACTGGGTTTGATCCAGCAGTCATGGTTAAGGTTGTGGAGAGAGATAGAGGAGAAATGGCTGACTCCTTTCATGTCTCGACTAGCTGAGAGACATTTGGTATCCAGGAATGATCTTGTTTTTCTTCATGCCTTTACTGTCTCCACTGCTCCTCACACACACGCACGGCCAATAAAAACAGCATTGTGATCCTAATCGGTGAACATCCTCCATCATAAATAAACCGCCCACGTTTGTCTCTGTCAATGATCTTTCAAATAAGGCCAATACATATATATATATATATATNNTCCCTTTTAAATCTCCGCTCCGAAGTCCTTCTTACCGGCCTACAACCGCATTCATCAATGGTTCGGGAAGTGGCGCTGTACCTTAATAATATAAAGGTTGCTATTTGCGTGCATTTCCTGTTCGGAAAGTGGCAATCTTACTGAGAGTGGAGGTGTCCTGCATTAGCGCCTGCAGGCAGGCTCCATGGACCTGTCAGCTCCGGACTGCGCAAATTGCGTAGATGACGCGCTACGTCATGAACGCAAGAAATCTACCCTCGTGGGGGCGCGCTCATGTGATTGGCTTAGAATTGAGGAGACATCTGATTGGCTATAGATAGAAAAAATTACAAGTACGAATCGGCTGACCGTCACGGGAGTCTCAAAAAACCCACACACGAATGCACAGCGATCCGTGCACAGAAAGCGGTTTGTGTTTGCAGGTTCAGAGGTTTTAAACGGAAAACAAATGTGTGGATCAAAAATATATATTTAAAACTTTTTTCTGTATTCGGATTTTATTTACATGTATATGAAACGGAACACATTTGTGTGTGCATTGAAAAACACAAGTGTGGATCCGGAAATACAAGTGTGAATCCTTTTGCGGATCATGAAATACAAGTGTGAATCCTTCTGTGTGCATGTGTGTATTATGAGACTGTTCTGAGCCCATAAATACAAGCATTGCCATATATTTAGATTTGTTTTGCATGAATCTGTTGCAGGTGATAGGAGGATCGGGGCGTTTGTACACATGCTTTGTGTCCTGTCACTACTGCCCGTGCCCGGCCTTTGCTTACACCGTGCTGCGCAGAAATGAGGGCCCGCTGGTGAGTGTCCCACAGTGTTACATACAGGCTGAATACTTTAGATTAGAATAAGGGTGGCAAGTTTAGCTTAATGAGAATTTTCTTTTCTTTATGCATATTTGATCAGATTTTGATTGAAATCATTTAGCTAATTTCGGGTGTGGGTTTTTTTTTCTTTCAAAAAGGTATTGCAAAAAGGCATACGTTTTTGTAATTGTTGTTTAATTGTTGTTAAACATTGTTTTTTTAAAGTAGGGAGGATAAAATAAGTTAGGGTAATAAACAATCAAAGTTTCCCTGCTATTCGAAAGTATTTCACCTTTTCTTAATATTTCAGACATTGTTCAGACAACATAGAAATGCTATTAATTGTTTTGTTTTTGAATAAATGAACCCAAACTACTTTTACGATTCTACATGATAGATTACATTTTTTAAAAGACTGAGACTACCGGCCTCCCCTCTTGGAAAAATGTGCCATATATTTATATTTAAATATATTGCTCTTTAGAGAGAACTTAAAAACAGAGATTAACAAATAAACTTGCTTTTTTTTGTTTTAGAGTAGTGCCTTCAGATAAACCCTTCACCTTTATTCGGCCTGTGCTGGGAAACCCAGGCCACCAAAATAACCCTTCAATAACTCTCTCTCCCATTTACAATATCTTCTTCAAACAAGGCCAAATGGGTTATGAACTTTTAAAAATATATTTAGCTCATAACTTTTTTTTGTGATGACACACCCGCTTAACACATAGAGGCACGTACACAATGTTCTGCATGTGTTAACTCTATATGTACACCAAGCAACAGAAGTACACATCTGCGATACATTGTTAGTAAAGCAGCATATTTACTCTCTGCGACGTTTCACAGCCGTGTCTTGTCAATCATGCGTGTATCCTGGAGAAAACTGCTGCCCAGGCAAAAGTGTAAAAAAGCACCCGTTGAAATATGTGTAACAGATGTAATGTGGTCAGGTTATGTTCTGGTCAGCGAGGGGTGTCTTTATCTGACCGGCTGTTGCTTTAAGTACTGCTTCAAGCATCAGGATAAGTTTATTCCCTGGAGGATGCTGCTAAAATCAGTGTGAGAAGCAGAGACCATGGAGACTCCCTAAGAATGCATCTCTGAAATCATTCCCCATGAAAACAGACTGAACTATTCACTGCCTCATCAAACTCTCCTGCAACTTTTAAATCTAGGTAGATGGAGTTGTTTTGTGATGTTGCATGTGTGGAAGCTAAGATGCAAGATAAGGCTCATGGTGGATCAGATTTTCAAGAGGAGAGCAGTATCATTTTCAGGATCATATTTGTATGTTGTGCCTCTACTGTGACATGTCTCCATGCTTTAATGTTCAAAAAGCTCTTTATTTTTCTCATACTGCCTGTGCTGCAGCACCTCATTTCACCCTCTGTCTGAAACCAGAGCCCAGTCTGCTCTGATTGGTTAGCTGGCCTGCTTCTGTTATGTTGGTCAGCGCTTAAGACATGATTCGCCTTAGCCTGTACATGTAGGAGGCGCTTGCCATAGAAGCAGAGTGACATTGTGTGTCTACTGTTCCGAAGAACAAATGGAGTACAATGAGGCGTTTCGGCCGGGGGGAGTTGGAGAAACTGTGTCTGGGGGGAACTTTGGGTTTGAGGTTTTGCGAGGACCATTTACAGCACAACCGATACAACACGCACTACATATTGAGCAGGATTCCAAAGCACAAAGCACAACAGGGGCTCTCAATCCAAGTTAAACCTGTATAAAGCTCAGAGAAGGAGACATTTCTCAACAGTCATCCCCCTGAGCCATTGTTCTTCACGATTGCTGGATAAGGGCAACATGGTCCATACGGCTTGACAAGTAGGTCAGAGGTCAGATAAAGGATCCCCTCCCCCCCCTCCACAGCAGACCTGAGTAAGTAAGCGAGAGCTGGTAAACAACCTCCTGTCCTTTCACCGACCTCTCCTCTTGCGTTTTATGTAGAAACACTAATTCCAGGCAGGCATGTTAGGGTGGAGGGAAGTGCTATGCTAAAGGTTGCATGTTAGGCGTCGAAGTGGAATGGATTAAGTACTGTTAACATGTTGATGTTGATGTATGAGAGGAGTGACACTGTTCACTGATCATGCACACGGACGCCGACTTGCGAGGCTTTGCGTCATTTAGCTACAAGATACCGGTTAGTTGTGTGAGCAGCGAACCGTTAGGAAACATCATCACTATAATAGTCAATGTGGATATCAAGTCTTTTGTGTGTGTGTTTGTTGTGGTGGTTAGATAGTGCGTGGTGGTGTTGTGGGTGTTGATGTGTAGGATCAGTGGGGGAGCGTTTCCGGGGCGAGCGAGCTCCGTTCTAGTCTGACGTGAAATTCCCAACGCGATCTTGACGTCTGTTGCCTTTCACCTGTGTCATGGATGCTGGTGTGTGGGGTGTGCGGGAGCAGGGTTCTGGCTGTGTACTGTGTCGAGCCATGCTGTGCCAGCAGGGAGAGCGTGTCTGATTCCGCAGATGTCCGCTACTGTTGAGTGGACAGCCCCTCTGGGACCCAGGTACGTGTTCGTACGTACCCTAGAACGGATGTTCTCAAACCTCCACTTTGGTCTCTGAGGAGAGGTGCGGAGGACGGGAACCACAACGTGCAGTTGTATACGCGTGTGTGTGTGCGTCTGGGTAAGACACCGCGATGTCATTTTTTGTTAAGTTCTTATGCGTGTGTTCTGCGCCTCGGAAAGAATGTATTTGTAAATATAAAGTGGTTTCGGGTGAATAAACTCACCTTTACAATATGAGCATTGCTGTTCATTGAAAATTATTAAAATAAACCGCATGCAAATATCCGAGGTACATCAGATTGCATTATGTTAATACTGGTTCAGTTTGGTAGTTTAGCTTTGACAGCAAGAGGTGCAAGGAGCTATAAAGAGAGAGTATTAATCTGCAGCGCTTTAGTCGTTTCCGTTCCTCCTGGATCTTCTCCTTTGCACTGTGAAGTTGTCGACCCATATACAGAGCACACGATGAGTACGGTCTGAGAGGGACATCTTATGTCTTTAGGGGTGTACTGAACAATACCTCGGGAGAGAATGGTTGTGCCACATATAGAGTCCAAGGCCGTGTTCCCCATGTCTCTAAAAACTCCGAATCACAAACGAGATGGCTGTTTGCATCAAGTCACATTGCTGTGTGTCAGAGCAAGCGCTCTCGCGTACGCTGACGCACAAGGCCTACTATGTTTGTTGTCCCTCAACGCCACCAGGGGTATACGTAACAGCCGGAATGTTGACAGTTTACATCCTTCTGGACAGAAAGATAGGAAGTCATGTCTCGAACTAT